ACGTCGTTGTATGTGCCGCATCCTCTCCATTTGTGAGCGCAGGAAGCTGTCCCGGGGCTGTTGTCGGGACGGCTCGGCTCGATCGAAGAGCGAGGCTATCCCAACACGAGATAAGCGATTACGTTTTTTTCCGCTCCTTCCCGCTCGAAGTAGTCGCGGGAAGTCGTCGGGAGTCACGCGAATCCCCAAACGTCGCGAGTGTAATTTTCCAAATTCCAAATAACCACCGCGGGGGAAGTTATAACACGGGATTCGCAGAGCGAGCTGCAAAATTGCGCTCTTCTGCTCGAAGGCCGAACGTCTAATATTTGACGTACCTCGACTCTATCGATCTCTCGTCCCCGCGACAGAAAACGGAGTGCCCTCGACGTCTTCGCGCTCCCCAAGCTCGTGTCGTCTTCCGTCGATCGTGCGATTTCCCGCGAGAGAATCTCGTTCTCGTATCCGCGAATCCTACCCGGGTAAACGCACGGATAATAAACTGCGAGCCGACAGAATAATCTCGTTACGCGAAAATTGCGGCTAAAACCCGATACCCGCTGCCAACGAGTTCGCGCGACGACGACATCTCGTTTCCGCCCGATAGGCAAAATCTCATAACCCAAGTGGAAACTCCGGTAACCGCGAGATTTTGGATTACGTGAGATTGAAACACGACGAAATGCACCTGTGCGTAATATAATATCGCGCGCCCATCGAATAACTCGCCGCGATAAGCTGTCGAGAGGCTCGCGGTTTTCAGCGGCGCCGATCTCGCTCGTTAATTGTAGAAAGTGTCATTTAATTGACCCGCGACGCGTATAATATCGTTGATATTCGAAATGGCTCGGCGACTATTTAAGGAATCCCGTTGATTAATCTATCAGCGACAAGCGCGCGTCGCTGATCCTCCGAGTCTTGGACCGCAGACCGATTCACGCTCACAACGTTTGCGAACATCATTTATCTTTGTTTAACTTTTGGTAGACAAGGATAAAAGGATTTTTTATGGTTCCTGCGTATAGGATGCGGCAAACGCTTGCTACGCGGCGGAAATTGGCGCGATAGCCAATCAATTTATCGCTTTTTCGTAAAAACAAAAAAAAAGTGATTGCACAGGAAGGATGATGATTTTGTTGAAGTATTAAAAAATTTAGCTCCTATACAGATCTGAAAGTAATTGTTGGATTATTAAAATAATCATGTAAGACGCTCAAGTTGATTACTAGAAAACGTCAAAATTTTACTAGCAGTGCTGATCGTTGATACTTGAGATTCTTTCGTAATTATTTTGATGGTCCAAAAATTATTTTCATGCTCGTACAAGTTAAATTTTTAGATGCTTCAACAAAATCGTTTTTTCCATATATAAATCTGAAAATAATTTTATTGATTACCAAGACACTCAAGCTAGAATGTTAAAACTTTTTGCAGTACTATTCATCGTACTTGAAATTCCTACGTAATTATTTTGAGCCAACGAAATTATTTTCATATTTGTACAAGCTAAATTTTTAGATGCTTCAACAAAATCGTTTTTTCCATATATAAATCTGAAAATAATTTTGTTGATTACCAAGACACTCAAGCTAGAATGTTAAAACTTTTTGCAGTACTATTCATCATACTTGAAATTCCTACGTAATTATTTTGAGCCAACGAAATTATTTTCATATTTGTACAAGCTAAATTTTTAGATGCTTCAACAAAATCGTTTTTTCCGTGTATAAATCTGAAAATAATTTTGTTAATTATCAAGGCACTCAAGCTAGAATGTTAAAACTTTTTGCAGTACTATTCATCATACTTGAAATTCCTACGTAATTATTTTGAGCCAACGAAATTATTTTCATATTTGTACAAGCTAAATTTTTAGATGCTTCAACAAAATCGTTTTTTCCGTGTATAAATTTCAAAACTTTGTTAATTGTATAATTGTATAGGTCGATTCATGGTTGTTAGAATGTTAAAAAATGTTGTTTTATGGCAACATTACTCATCATGCTTGAAATTCCTAACTGTATAACGTAATTATTTTGATGGCACCACAAAATTATTTTCAGATCTGTATGTAGCTAAAATTCTAGATACTTCAGCAAAATCGTTCTTTCCGAGTGGCCACCGCTAACTTTCGTGCGGCAAGCATTGCTACGTTCCATATGCAAGAAGCATTATATGTCAGGCTGCTTTCACATGCAGCGTAACTTGCGTAACTTGAGTTAACCAATCAAATCATCTCAACTGGAATAAGGTGTAGTTGCTGATAATTTGACACAATTTGATTGGTTGATGCAAGTTACGTTTACGCAAGTTACGCTGCATGTTAAAGGAGTCTTATGAGCATGAATCGAACCTGGAAAGTCTCCAACCTGGCCAATTGATCCTCGTTTGATCAGCGTTTCAGATGGCTCGCCATCTTCGAAAACAAAACGCCCGTCACACGGTCAGAATTCTCGCGAATGACAGGAAAGATTGAAATTTCGTATCTCCCTGCGAGTTGACAAATCGGGCGATACGTTATCGTGACGGCGGCCTAAGGACTGCGGATCCGTACCGTAAATCATTAGAATACCGCGGAATGAAGTCCGAGCATATTTCATCGACTCATGATGAGGAACGACATCGATATTTTCGACACGTATTTTTTTTATCCGTCCGATTGAGCCGGGGATACGCATAGGTAGCAAAACACGGAGGAGCGGATCTGTTCTTTCCCTTCCGTCGGATAAAAACGAGATGGAATTTTCGGGTGGACGTGGATTGGATCGCGCGATTGGGATAAAAATAATGTAGACCCGCTTTTGTAAAAGACGCTGTATTGTTTTTCCAAGATGAACGCTAGTCAACCGTAGAAACTCCCAACCGGGTCTTTCCAACGCGAAAATAAAATAAACGATAAGAATGGTATTTTAGCGCCTTGATAGAAAAAAGTAGAGAAAAAAGAGGAAATCCCTATTCTCTGATTTCTCGCTAACGGAAAATTTTAGCGGCGCTACGGAACGAATTCACTCCCGTTCCTCGTTAAGGTACAATCGAGCGACGAGGCTCGACCATTGCGTCAATTAACGAGCAAACAGATAAATTGACGGCTTGGTGCGAAAGAGTGGCCGCTCAGTGAACATCCTTTTTCTCCTTCGGACATTTCATAAACTGTGAAATTCTGCCGACGCTTCTACTTCGTTGGTCTTAGAGACTCTCTAATCGGAGTCAAGACACGAAACAGCCACTTTTGATTGATCCATGTTTGAACAACTCCTGTGAGAGAAAGAAAGAAAGAGTAAATATATGTCTTTCTCTCTCTTGCATGATTTGATGCTAAAACTATAGACCCTGCATACAAAACGGCTCGTGTCCAAACTCTCATTAGAGGGTATTTAGTTGATTCTAGAGGTACTAAAATAGGAAATCGGTTACCGTTTAAATAACTTCTGAATGGTCTACCATATTCAGGACAGTGCTTAAGATAGAATGGAATAAGTACATAAGATGGAATAATATGCGTGGATATCTCATTCTATCTTGTACATAATCTATCTCGTTCTATCTTAAGCATCTGAATATGGCGGATAATACACTGTTAAATTCATAATGTCAAATTGTATTCAATTTAATGCTTTCTATAGGTCGCCTACTCAATATCGTTAATTTAACTAAAACAATAGAGTTAAATGATTTAACTCGAGAAAATGTATGAAATTTGATTCAAATTCAGTTTATTATTTACTACGTGCATACGTTAATGTGGACGTTATTTACTTTGAAACTAACTATAGAAATGCATTGATTTACATTTTGACACACATGAAAGTTAAAAATAATAAAATGTCATTTATCTCGAGAGATTGGATTGCCATTGCTTCTTTGATATCTAACAGTGTAGCCAATCTCTTATTTGAGGATCTCTAGTTAGGTCCCAGCTTTTCGTGAGAGACGAACATGACTGGACCAGCTTGAGGCCGAGTCGCCTGACTCGCGTTGATTCGATCGTAAATGGAATCGTCACGAAAGCGGCGACTGTTTCGCGCTGGTGACGAGCCCCGAAAGGTAGCAGGCGATTGCCAGGCGAAGTGGTAACGATAAGAGTTTGTAGTGGCCGATGGTGCGTACGTTTCGCGCTTGTACAGCATGTGCATGTCTCTTCTTCTCTCGCATCGATTTACACAATATCTTGATATATATCTAACACACACACACACACACACACAAAATATTTTTGCAAAAAATTTGTACTCTGTATTTATGCACGTTTACGCAGCTTTTAGTGCACGCGCGTTCGCAATCACATCCTCTTCGCCTTTTCTCTCGTCTCTCGTTTTTTTCCCTCGAACTGACGAATAAACCCTCTACCACTGGCGAAGAGTGCGTAATTCACTTGCGAACGCGACGAAGCACTTGCGATATTTTTTTTTGTCACGTGGCTACTTTTACGTCCTCCCCTCGCTCGTGATGTGCGCAGACTATTTTGCCTGTAGTTGTCTTGGCGTTGTTGTCTTGGCGTGACCCGATGAGAATAACGAGTGATTATTATAATAACATAATGTATCCCCCGGTAAGCTCTGTGGATTACGTAGTAGTTAACGTGCGATGGCGTGAATCATCGCAAATGATTTGCAAGCGCGACGACGAACGCGCGGCAAATCGGTGACGAAGCGACGTGGCGAAGCTATTGAGTTTCTTGATTAAAATGTGTTGTAAATTAATGGACCAGCTTTTGTACTGTTGCAACAGCGCTATCGATCACGATGTTGAAAGAATACTTTTGAACGTAGGTAGCGTATTGAAAATTTACACGGTGTAAAATTGAAAATTTCCAAAGACCACCGTAGTTATCTTATGTTTGCTTTTAATTTTTTTTTTTTTAATTAGAGGTCAATGTTGACCATACTCAAGAAATCATTATAAATTGTTGAACTCGAACGGATCGCCGATTCCTTTCGCTATGTTGATCGTCACTGGATGATCTAGGTGCTAATATCTCATTGTCATACGAATGCCATAATATGCGTCTCTAATATTTATAGGTGCAGCAGCCAATCTACGTAAGGAAGTGATCAGAAACAAGATCAGAGCCATTGGCAAAATGGCACGGGTGTTCTCCGTCCTGAGGTCAGTGAACGATAAAACAATCTTTAAAGACTTTAAATATGTCATAATATGCCCTGAGATACTTTAACATAAAAATAATAGACGTAAAAGTTGATCCGAAACTCTCGACTCATAAGTAGATTTTTATACGAATTACAATTAAAAATAAAAAGGTTACACATTATATATATTATAAAAACTGATCTACAACTTTTACGACTATTTAATGATTTTTAATTATTTCATTGTGTTATAATGTAATTTTAATCTCTTCACAGAGAGGAGAGCGAGAGCGTTCTGCAGTTGAAGGGCTTGACGCCGACTGGAGCTTTACCGCTCGGTGCATTATCTGGTGGCAAAACCTCTCTGAAAAACGGTAAAAATTTTATAAAACAACTTCTGACATTAGCGTTGAGAATCATTGTAATTCAGTTTAGAATTTTAAAATGCAGTGAATTGTGCATTTATTTAATTATTCTATCGTGATGCAACGCGAAGGTAGAAGAGAAAAAATACCGGATGTCCCAGTTATATTACTCGTAGATAATAAGCATCTCGCAATATAATTTAGGGTATAACTGGTGTGCCGCAAAAATTTTAGAGAAAGTAAAAAGAAGCGGATTGGAGAAATAAGTAAAAAGGTGAATGAGATGCCAAGTAAGAAATGTTTTAAATTTTGTGAAAATTATATTGTTTACTCTCATTTTAACCAACGCGATTATCATTGCAATAAAATCGTTTTAAAAAAAATACGATAAAATGAAAAATAAAAACTTTAGAACTTTATTTCTTATATTTCTGAATGTCGTGTTAACAATATTTGATAAAAAATCTATGTTAACCATTGAAACGTGCGCACGTAATGATATACCTCAAAAAATCTGGCTCGTTATTTAATGTGTCATGAATAGAAAAGGGTTGAAAACCGCTGGTATAACTAGATAATCGCAAAAGAGAGAGAATTTAATCCTTCCAGAAACCGTTCTCTTACAATTTCGCGTGTTCTAACATTCTGTTTGCTTTATCTCCTTTTTTTCTGCCGTTCATGCAGCACTTCAAGGCTTCTCGCCGAATCACAAAATTACCTCGTTCGCCGAGGCCAAGGGCTTGGACGCTATAAACGAAAGAATGCCACCGAGGAAAGATGCACCGCCTACGCCGGCGAACGAGGAGAAATCCGTGGCAAAGCCGCCGCCTCCTGCGGGAGACAAGCGGGACCACAACATGCCGCAACCGCAGTCGTGAGCCCCACACTCGTCCACTCAAGGTACACGTCCGCAGATTCTAAACATTAACAGACACAGGAAAAACCTTCCTTCTACCTGACTTTTTCTTTCTTGCTGTAGTTGTTTGGCTTTTCGACCCATTTAGAGGGTCTAATAAGTAAATGCGTAGCAAGTATTTATCCTCCTCGGGGAACAGACATTAGGTAGAGTGATGATCTCCAGACGTGAAAAACGCGTACATGAGGCACGGGTGGAATCAAACCCGGATCCACACTGAAGCCACTCATGCCACCCTCTACCTGACTTAGTCAGTAAATTTCGCAGGATTACATGATATTTAGCGCTGTCTTAACCGACTTTGATGTTCTTACTCGAGTTGAGTAATTATTTGCCGAAGAGTTAATTATTAAAAGATTTTTTTTTAATCTTTCTCCTATGCCTTGTGAAATAATATGAATTTTTAGTCATTAATTTACGATAATCTAGTCAAACTAGTGCTGTTTTCCTAATGTGACAAAACGCGTCTTAAGGATGTATCAAGTGTATACTCTCTGCAAGAAATGATAGGAATTGAAAATTTATATTTTACTTATTTTTTATACATACATATGAAACAGTTCAATAAGATCAACATTTACATTTATTGATACAATTTTATATTTTAAATGAAAATTTTTGCATTTTTTAGCTTAATTATTTTTTAAAAATATTACTTCTTATTGAAATAATATTTGATTCAAGTTTTAAATCGCAGCAAAACTGTTTGCATTACTTTTAAATGTTGTATATAGAAAAGTCTAAATTTTTCCATTTTGTTAAAAAATACGTAACATATTTTTAATATTATCTTCAATATTATATTAAAAATTATAGATTGTTATACTTTTTAAATATTATCTTTTGAAAAAGATCAATACATTTTGGGTTGGAACATTTTTCATCTGATATTGCCAATGGAAAAAGAATAAAGACGAGAGTGTACGCTATATCTCATATTACCGCATTAATATAAAGTGAACGTTTTTCAGATGGCGGATGGATGGATGGGTCTTAAGACCCCGGCTATCGCCGCCACCGAACATTTGCAAACCATTGCTCGTCTCTCCCCCTCCCCCCCCCCCCCCCGC